ATTCTTATATATCTCCTTTAAGTAATATAATCTAAATCTATATAAAAGGAAAATTATAAACATATATATATTTTGATATTATATATAATAAATAATAAAAATAGTAGAATTAATATATTATATTTAAAATAAATATAAAACAAATACATGCATTTTACTTATATTACTTTACTTATATTCGTAATCTTGAATAAAAAGAGAAATATGTTTGAATTATTTAAAAAAATTTTACATACGTACATATATATATATTGCATGCACATACACACACGAATAAAAGAATATATAAAAAGATGCGATCACGCATGAAAATGTTTGGTTCTTCTTCGTATCAAATCGTTTAAAATAGAAAGAAAGCCTTTATGCGATCTGCATGATCGATCGCCCGAATCTATCGGAGTTATTAAAAATGTACGAGAGAAAAGAGAAACATACATTGTTTCTCTCTATCTTTTTGAAAGTTTAATTGAACAAATGTTTCATCGTTGTTGTTTCCACTAAGTTACTTTTACTTACAAATAAAAAAGTAGTTAACAAGCAATAATATTACAAACAAATTTCATTTCTCACGATATAAGATAGGATGAAGTATTAAACATTTTCCCATATTTTTTTATATTACAATGTTATACCATGAGTATTTAACATTGTCTTCTAATGTTTTTATCCACATAAAAAAAGTAGTAATTGTCTGAATGTGTAGAGAAATTTGAACACAATGGATACATCAGAATCAAAGAAATATTCAAAAGGTGTATTTTTTAATTAGTTAATATTTTTCAAATAATAATTTTTTATAATAATAATTTATAGACTACGAATGGGCCGTAAGATTAAATCGATTTAGTTTAAATGTAATTTGTCTTTGGCCTGTAGAAGAACAAAATATAAGAAAACAATCTTGGACGAAATTACATATAACGATATGTTTCATGCTAATAACTTTTGTTTGTACAATTCCTTGTTTATGCGCTCTTAAACAATGCAATAATTTAATGGAAGTGACGGATAATCTTGCATATTCTATTCCTTTGATAATAACTACAATAAAATTTATTGTAATATCCAGCAAGAAGAAAGGTAAGCTTAAATTGAAAGGAAAACAGAAAGCATCAATAAATAAAAAAAAGTATATATACATGAGGTATGCATCACTTTTTTTTTCAAGTTCTCTCGCTGATTGTAAACATGATCGCAAAAGATTGGGCAAAATTAAAAACTGACTATGAAAAAGATATAATGATACGCCGAGCAAGAATTGCAAGAATAATCAACATATTCGGTTATATATTAATATGTATCTTGATATGCTTATTGATGATTTTACCAAGATTCGGTATTACTATTCGATATGTAACGAATGGAACGGATGCAAAAAAACTTTTTCCGTTACCAACTTATTATATTTTTGATGTATCTGAAAGTCCATATTTCGAAATAATATATGCTCTTCAATCTATCAGTCTTTTAATAGCGGCATTTTGTTATGCTGGAGTTGATAATTTTTTTGGAATATTGATCCTTCATATTTGCGGCCAATTAACAAATCTTCGATTTCAGCTCGCAAATATGAAAGAATCAGAAGCTTCTAATTTCATTTTAATAGCTATTATAAAAGATCACATACGACTCATCAGGTATTTTATTTTACATTATATTATATAAATTCGTACTATTTCTCTTTTTTTTTTCTATTTTAGCAATTTATATATTATTATATTATTATATATGTATTATTAAATGTACGCAATAAAAAATTATTTTAATTTTCAAAAATATTTCATAGAGCAGCAAATGTGATCGAAAATACATCAACAGTTTTATTTCTCATTTTGTTACTTAATTTTGGAATGTGTGCTTGTGTATATGGCTTGTTAATAATCACTGTAAGTAATTTAATCTTATAGAATTATTAAAGATGTTTATAGAACAAAATTGTAAATCTGATAATTACAATCTTTAAATATTTTTTTAAATATCTTAAGATATACATTGAAGAAGAGCAATTTTCTCTGCTTCGAATAATATATTTAATATGTAATTTTACAAATACATTTCTTCAAACGTTTCTCTATTTTATGGCAGGACAAATGTTAGTAACTCAAGTAAGTAAAAATTTTTTTTTTCTTTTTCCACATTGTTACATTATTTGTGTATTTACTTAAAATTTTCTTGTAATTATATAGTCCGAGGAAGTGCATAATGCTGCATATGAATGTGAGTGGGTAAATTTAAAATACACGAAAGCAAAAAGTTTGATTATAATTATGGCGAGATCAAAAAAGCCGCTTTATTTAACTGCAGGAAAATTATTTCCTGTAACGATGTTAACATTTTGTAATGTAAGATATATTCTTTTCATATATTTTTACTCATTTTTTTTTTCATTGTCTTTATTTCTTATAATATTATTTCAGATATTAAAAATTTCGCTCAGCTATATATCCTTCTTATTAACAATATTATAAGATATTACAATTTATAAAAATTTATCAATTAATTTAACTAATTTTATATATATATATATATATATATATATATATATAT